AGCATTTGTTTTTTTTTTGAGTCATGCATGACTGAATCTTCTTATTAATTAGCATCGACGACATATATGTGTGGGATTACTTTTTGAGTGGCTTGGTTAAATTACCATCTTTTGCTTCAAATTAAAGGCGCTTTTTAAGATGTATATTCAGAAATTGAAATGATAAACCTCAAATGAAATATAGCCAGCTAAACTAATTAAGGATCGATTCGATCGTATTAATGAATGATCCCTCTATGACTCTATCTCCTTAATTACCGCAATGTTGGAAGCAAGTACAGAACTCAAATTTAAAATGTTTGGAAGGTAAAAGTAAAAATCACACCCTCTCTCTAGTCTCTACTAGTTATCCTAGCTACGCCGTTCTAGTTCTACGAGAGACCAGGTGAAAGCTTCCATCAGTGTGTGACAAGCGAGACACGACAGTACAATGCAAGTACTTAACTCTGCAAATTTTGCGGTTAATTATCATAACTACATAGATAATTAAACCCTGTAGCCAACTAATATAGTTAATTAATTACCAGCTCCTCGCAGATAGCTAGACATCCATAGTTTTATACTCATCTAGTCAGAGATTTTAAACAGTGTAGTTGGTCACCATCTCCTATCCCTGACATACACTGCTTCCATGGAGCTAAAGAGGAATCTAATTCTAAGTGAGACAAGCATGTGACCATCAGACACATCAGCTGACTAGGCATTGCATGTTACAGTACGTGTTAGGTATGTATGTTCATGCAAGTTGATGTAATCTGAATCCTTTATTAATTACGCCAATGTTTGTGTGACCACACTGTACTGACCAGCACTCCAGCAGCATCGATCCAAACTAATCATTTCTAAATGACGCAGAGCTTAACCTGTATTGTTATGCATGTAATGTAGTTGTGGACGCATGTTGGTTTGAATTTGAGAATCGTCCTTGAGCATTTGCACTTGTTGCATACGTACAAAAAATCAGCTTGACGTACGTACGCTGGATCTATACTCCAGAAAGTCATGGAATGGTAAACTGCTGTTCGTCTTGGCATGCATATGTATGCATGTTGTTTTTTCTTTTTTAAAAGGGTGACTAATTGTTAATTAATTTACAGATGGGTTGAGAAAGGATTTGCATTTGCAAAAGACAAACATGAGAAGTCCATCCATGCATGGCAATATATAGTGCGTACGTAACGTACGTACTATACATGTTGTGTTGCATGCCGGCATATACGTTACGTCCTGCAGGGTGCATGTAAATATGGCAGGCGTTGACAACATTAATTGCCTGCAGTTGCACGCCCGGCCACTGACATGAATTAACTAGGGCTAGTTCCAAAATTGACTGGCTCTAGCGATGCTGTGTTTAGTTCACGTTAAAATTGGAGGTTTGGTTGAAATTGAAACGATGTGACGGAAAAGTTAAAAGTTTTTGTGTGTAGAAAAGTTTTGATGTAATGGAAAAGTTGAAAGTTCAAAGAAAAAATTTGGAACTAAACTCGGCCTTAATGTGAACCAACAAACCAAATTGCGGTACAAATCAAATTAAAACTACAGCACCCTATATACGCACGAAAGAGTCATGTACATGTTGTACATATTATACCAGCAACGTACGTACGTACGGCTGGATACACACACTACTACAAAAGTGATCTTTGCTAAGTCACGTAAAAATCACATTAGTCTCGATTTGAGTAAGAACTAGTACTAAAAATCATGTTTAGTCCCGATTCAAAAACATGTCAGACCCTATTATCTTTAGTCCTAATTGTTTATATCAACCAGGACCCAAATTAAAAAAAAAAACATGAAAACTCTCCCGAGCCGCGTGCTGCCTCTCGTCCTTATCTCATTTTCTCTCCTCCACCTCCTCCCCCTCCCCTTCCTCCCCTTCCCCTCCTCCCCCCTCCTCCGATGACGGCGATGGCAGGTGGCGGCCTCTCCTCCGGCGGTGGCCGAGCGGCGGAAGCGGCCGCAGCGGCGACCGGGCCGCTGAAGCGGCAGTGGCAGCGGGATGGGAGGCGGTGCACGGCCAGGTAGTCTCCCCTCCGCCAGATCCGACGAGAGGGGAGACCGTCGGGCGGCGGGAGCGGCCGGCGGCGGCTGTTGTTTTGTGATTTTTTAAAATATTTTTAGAATGATTTGTAAACTTTGTTGTATATTATTTTAGATTTGTGGATGATTTTGTCAATGACTTGTGGATTGTGGATGATATTGTGGATGGGCAATTGTAGATGATTTGTGGGGATTTGAGGGTGACAATAAATGCAAGCAAAAAAAAACAATGGAAAAAAAGAAAAAAACTAATCAACCGAAACTAAAAATGGTAGCGCTACCATCTTACCAACTGGGACTAAAAAATAAAAATCCATTTTTATTGTTGGCTATTTTGATCGGCGGTAAAGATGGATATTTTTAGTCCCGGACTGGACGTCTCAGTTTACAACCCGGGATTAAAAGGGGTTGTTCCTGATGTAGTCGATCAAACTAGGGAATCAATAAAACTGATCAGATCGTATGCATGTGCACGAGAGATCGATCGATCAGTGGATACATGCATGTAGCATACTCTCCTATATGTCTAGAAACATGTGAGATTTAGATGCACAAATTAACCTGCAGTGCTAGCTAGCTCCTTTGACCTCTCTGTTAATAATCTCACCACCACCATCTCGATCTCCTCTCTTTTAACTAGTCTTCCAATACAACGAGCGAGCAGACGCAAGCAGGCTGGCGCCATCCAGCGACAAATATTCCAGCCGCTGTCGCTTCCGCCGTCGCCTTCCCCCTGGCCGTGGCCTCTCTCCCTCTTCGCTTCCCGCGCCGCCCGCCCCGCCACCGCACGTGCCCGCCGCGCCGCCCGCGTACGTGTAGCTGGGGCTCACCTCACCGTCGTCGTCGCACGCGCGCCCAGCTCGATCATGGCTACGTCGCCGGCGTAGGTTCTCCTAGATGATTAATCAAATTAGCACGCACGTACAGAGTAATTAATCAATTTTACTAGTTTGCTATAGCAATGAAATTTGCATTGGTAGAATATATAAGAGGATTTGCATTGTAATTTGTCCCCTAATCCACGGAGGTGTCTCGTTCTGCGCGTGGGGGATGACGATGCTGGGGTTGTCTCTCGTGCGTGCGCTAGCTTAGCTCCCAGTGCAGTGGTAGCTAGACACTACTGTGTCACCGTCGTCTCGTGTGCTATGCTACATTGCTACTACTACATACGTAGAATGGCATCCAAGGCGAGTAGAAAGGCTAGCTGCGTATACTAATGGTTTGACCTTCGGATCATCGGATGCATAGTTAGCTAGCCTATGCGTGCGTAATATGGAGTGAAAATATATATTGGTAACTTTTAAGGGAGGAAAAAGTATAGTTTATAGCTAGCTGTAGCGGGCTAATGGAGAAATTATTAATTACCTCGTTCACACTAGCTACCTGTTGATTCACGATCAGAATTAAGCAGAGACTCTCTCAAAAAAAAAGAGAAGCAGATCGACTGTAAAATGTAGCAAATTCTCCATATATGGGAGTACTCCATCAATTTCAAAATAGATCAACCTAGATTAAAATAGAATAGTACAACGAATCTTGACGGTTCCTTTTCAACATAGAATTATTTTGGAACGGATCGGAAGGAGTACACGAGTGCTATAGTGAATCTGTGGTATTGTGTGCTAGTAGTTCTCGGGCCAACCGTTCTTGTATTGTTTTCCTTCAATTCTCAAGGAAGTTGGCGTGCAAGAAAAGAGAAAGAAACATATTTCGTTGTTAATTTATGTTTTGATGCACCATTCTGTCTATTTTTGATTGATCTCGCCAGTTCCTTTAAAATCAAAACGGTACTAACTTTTAAGCGAAGCTATGTATATTCTTTCCAAATTAACAAATCTAAGATGACAGGATTCTTCACATGAAAGCTTCCGTTTTGAAAAGGCAGAACTTAATCAAGGAAAAAAAGCAGCACTTTTGTTGTCTATAACTCCTTTTTAGACAATGTGTCTACCATGAATCGTGTTATTTGAACATACTAAATTTTGAGAGAAATGGATTGATTTGCTCGGCCCTATGCATTTAATACTCCATCTATCTTACACTATTATGTCATTTTTACACTGGTGCAGATAATGAAAAAGAAACGCCAACGATCGATCAGATATTTTTTTTTTGGTATTGACGCAAGCTGAGATCACTCTCCTCCTATCATAGAAATTAAATTACTAATCCATCGATCTCTTCCGTCTAGTCAGCAAGAACATAATAATTTTAACCATAGCAATTAGCTAGTCAAAACGATCAATAAGACGATAACAAATTCGACCACATGATCCCCACTATATAACACCCTTTTTATCAGCCTCAAATCCAGGTCAAGTCAGGATCAAGTGATTCTAATCCTATCAAGGGACCCCGCTTGAGATGACGGCTCAAACAACATCAATTGACAATTGTAGCAAATCCCTTTTCTTGATTTTGATCCAATCAATCTAGTACTCCCTCCGTTTCTAAATATTTGACACCGTTGACTTTTTAGCACATGTTTGACTGTTCGTCTTATTCAAAAACTTTTATGAAATATGTAAAACTATATGTATACATATAAGTATAGTTAACAATGAATCAAATGATAGAAAAATAATTAATAATTACTTAAATTTTTTGAATAAGACGAACGGTCAAACATATTTAAAAAAGTCAACGGCGTCAAATATTTAAAAACGGAGGGAGTACTATTTAACAACTAACAAGCTAGTTTTCAAAAACTTAAGAAGGTGTGTGCCTGCATGTGGGTCCAGGCCAAAGAAAGTAGCAGCCCATGCATTGCACTGTTGCAGTGCAGGCTCCAGAGGCAGCAGCTGCAGTAGCTTACCTTTGCAGTGGGAGAGGGAGGAAGGCTGAGATTTGATGAGAAGGGGGGATATGCAGATGCAGGAAGCATCACATTATGGGCTAATCATGCCAAATGCAAAGGCACCAAGCCACAGCTTTTTACCACCCCCTCCTTCCCCCTTTCCCTATCTTTCTCCTCATCATATGTGTCATGATGCATTGCACACCCACACACACTAGCTACACTAGCTAACCCTTGCTATGCTTGCACAAACACCTAAAGACACACCTTTCAACTTTCACCTTTTTACCACTTCAAATATTTTATTCTCACACATACACACACAAACAATCTCTCTCCATCGATCTCACTCTCACTAGCAAAGCTCTATATTTATCCTGCCTTGATGGTTTTGTTGTTGCCACTAGCTAGCAAAGCTTATTTATGCTTGGGGGTAATGACCCATACCTAAGAACAAAAGTTGCCCTTTTGTCTCCAAAGGGAACTAGTCAAGCAGAAGAGGAGATCGATCAGCAACTAGCATAGTTTGATCCCAAGAGAGATCGATCGATTAATTAGCAACAAGCCAACGACAAGCTTAGCAATTTGATAACAATGGCGACTAGTGAAGCCGCAGCCATCTCCAACCCTTTCGCTCCTCTCACCAACCATCAGCAAGAACACCCTCCTCCTCCTCCTCCTCCCGCCAAGAAGAAGCGCAATCTCCCCGGCACACCAGGCAAGTGCACAACACAATTAACCTCAAAATCTTCCCCATTTTGCTGTGTTTGACTCGACTGATCAACGGCGATGTCGGTGGGTGCAGATCCGGAGGCGGAGGTGATCGCGCTGTCGCCGAGGACGCTGATGGCGACGAACAGGTTCGTGTGCGAGATATGCGGGAAGGGGTTCCAGCGAGACCAGAACCTGCAGCTGCACCGGCGAGGGCACAACCTGCCGTGGAAGCTGCGGCAGCGGAGCGGGAAGGAGCCGAGGAAGCGGGTGTACGTGTGCCCGGAGAAGAGCTGCGTCCACCACAACCCGTCGCGCGCGCTCGGCGACCTCACCGGGATCAAGAAGCACTTCTGCCGCAAGCACGGCGAGAAGAAGTGGAAGTGCGACAAGTGCTCCAAGCGCTATGCCGTCCAGTCCGACTGGAAGGCCCACTCCAAGACCTGCGGCACCCGCGAGTATCGCTGCGACTGCGGCACCCTCTTCTCCAGGTACACCCGCCGCCCCGCCATGGCCACGGCCACGGCCACGGGAGGATCTCGAGCCCCTACTACCGGCGTTACAACTATAAAAGCCCCCACTAAAATTTTAGCATACATTCATTAGAAGAGGGGACTATAGTTTATTAGTTTTATATGGCTTGTTAGCTCCAGGCTTTGATATGATCGTCGACGATGGTGGCGATAGCTTAACGCGATCCATGCATGGTTGGATATTGGATGCAGGAGGGACAGCTTCATCACGCACCGCGCGTTCTGCGACGCGCTGGCGGAGGAGACGGCGAGGCTGAACGCGGCGTCCGGGGCCGCCGCGGCGGCGGCGGCGGCCACGGCCACGTCGCTGTGCGGGCAGAGCTACCTGTTCGCCGGGTCGGGTGGGCCGGGGATGGCGGGCATGCGGCCAAACATGATGATGCCGCCGGCGGCGGCGGCGGCTGGAGGGCAGCTCAGGGCGGGTCAGATGCTCGGTCCGGCGGCGGGGGGCGTCGGTGGGGACCTGTGCGACGGCGGCGTGGCGCGGCACGGCGGGCTGTCGCTGTGGGGTGGCGAGGCGTTGCCGTCCATGGGCCACATTGGCGTCCTGGCCAGCGGTGGCGCGGCGACAGTGCCGCCGCAGCTGTACGTGGATCTCTTCGCGCCGAGCTCCGGCGCGCCGCCGCCGCAGTTCGACGCGGCGCAGCTGAGCTGGCTGTACGGGAACGGCAAGCTCTCGTCGTCGAATGCCAGCGAGCTGACGAGCGCCACGGCGGCGGCGAAGGAGGCGGAGAGCGTGCCGTCCGTGTTCAGCAACCAGCAGCACGCGAAGCCCGCGGCGCCCACCGACATGTCCGCGACGGCTCTGCTGCAGAAGGCCGCGCAGATCGGCGCCGTGACATCCACCGCCGCGATGCCCCTAGTGTCCCCGTTCGAGCCGACCAAGCCCGGCGGCGCCACCGCCTCACCGGCCGACGAGTGCGGCAAGTTCGACGGTGCAGCCCTATTCGCCGCCGCGAGCCATCACAATGCCAACCTCGGCGGCGCAATGAGCGAGCTCACGGGGGCCGCCGGCAACGTGCCTTACGACGTCTTGTCGGCGGTGCGCCACCATGCCGGCCTGAAGGACGCCGGCGGCGTCGGGAGAGAGGAAACTAGGGATTTCTTGGGCGTTGGCGTGCAAGCACTGTGCTCGTCGTCGATACATGGGTGGATTTAAACCTTAATTTGCATGCTAATTCTGTAGCCATGAAGAGATTAGTTAGTGCTAATTTTGAAGCTATGTAAGCAAGTAAGCTACAGTGGAGTGAAGCATGCATGCAAGCTCACAAAAGGGCTCAAGAAGAGCACCCAATTTAATTTACTAAAATTTCATTTCTTGTTTTCACAAACCATGCTCTTGATCGTGCTACTTGAAGTTGATGGAACTTGAGCCATGGTGATAGGGCTGCACTAACTATTCAACGGAGTTGTTTTTTTTTTTTTGTGCAAATGCTCTATATGGGTTCATGGAAGAAGACATTGAGCAAGAAGAGAAGCAATGGTAACTGGCAAGCAAAAAGGTGGCAAGAGATCTATGCATATTCTCAAGAACCATTAATCAAAGAGTATCTCTCCCCTTTGTTTACTACTAGTACTACTTTGTTCTTAAGAAAAAAAGGCAATTGGGGATGTCACTTTACAACTCTATTATTGCACAAACCAAATTACCTTTTCAATGCAGCTAGCTTGATCCTGTTTTTAACATATGTGCATTTTTATTTCTAGCCTTAGTGCCATATATATAAAGGATGATCTTTGCCCCTAATAATAAACAATTTTTAAGTAGCTGTCTTGCTGTGCTTAGCCAAATGTCAAATGGTCTAAGGTTGAATTAAGCTAAAGGGGAGCTTGCAACATAGCAATGGGGTGCCCAATAACCTACCAACAAGGGGAGGTGGTTATCCAGTTGAGGATGCCACTGGTTTTGGCGCCCTTCCAGAAATTTGCATTTGATTAGTGATGCACATCCACACACATAGGCTAGTGCTTGCTGCTTAACTTAATTGCCTATTTGTCTGTATGCTTAGTGCATTTTAGTTGTAATGGAAGGTGTGCTGATACAGGATCTTCTATGAAGATGTTTTCACTAATTATTTTGTTAAAGACTTCAGGGGCTAGTGTTCATGGAAAGCATGAAAGAGCTTTGCTTGATCTAATTTTCAAAAAAATTAAGTGATCCTTAGTACATGACTGCACATTGTATTGGGTCAAAAAATAGCAAAAGGGTGTAAATATGAAGTGTGGTGGTAGAGTTACATACTTACATATTGGATAATGGATACTATATGCGTAGGTTAGATGACCGCAACAATTTTCGGTGAAAGCTATGGTTCAAATGTTTATATATAGAAGATGATACTATGAATTAAATATATATGAGCAGTGTATTATGACACTTACCAGTATCACAAATTTTCTAAATCTACCCTTGATCGGAGAGGTAACTGTTTACACTTGCAAAAGAAAATGGCTATACGTGAGGGAACTTCTTACAGTTAGTCAGTATCAACTTTGAACTGTTCATAAGCTAGCACTGACTTGCTAGCTATCACTTTTGTTAAAGAGCCAAAAAGCTAATGTATGGAATTGGCTAGGGCATAGCATGTGTAGTTGAGCATGGTTAATTTGAGAAGCTGTTAACAGAAGGTATATGTGGTAAAAATGTCCTTTTTTTTTTACCTAGGTGAGATAGGGTTAAATGTTACGAGAAATCCATGCATTATTGCCTAGTTTTGTCAAGTTATTAATGCCGAAAGCTAACGGTGCATGCCTAAAGCCAATTGAAACACCTTATCACACAAGAAGAACAAAACTACCCGAACAAATATAGTTATTCTTTTTCGATGACTCTAGATTATAGATTATACTGTGTTCTGACTTTTCTGTGCTTAATTTCTTGAAGGATAATTAAGTTCATGCATTTTCGTTAGTCCAAATGACCAACGGGCTGATGCCCATCTAGGAAGTGACGAAATAATTATTACCTACATCAACCATACCAATATTTAGTACTGTTAAATTTTAACGTATTTTGGTGTATCAAATTTTAGTAGAGTTAAGCTTTACCAAAATTTGATAGTATTTTTCAGAATTACTAAATCTTGGTAGGTAGTATTGGAAGAAACATATTTAGTTAATTTGTTACATTACCGACTTTGGTAGAGCTGAAAATATCAACCATCTAAATAGACCCTAAATGTTATGGAATACTTTGAGTGATATATCACATATTTATTTTATTTTATTTTATTTTAAAAAATATACTATCTTGTTCACAAATATAAGAGATTTTATCTATATAGTATAGTTTGGGACGGAGGTAATAACTATTAGTATGGCATTTCAGAAACGATTTATCCCATAAAAGTGGGAAAAAATCCCTTCATGTCTTAAACCGGCAAAAGTAACTAAGTAAATCAATAAAATCATTGGAACCACGAAACAAGGTCAATAATTTCCCGTTATTGTTTTATTTTCTTGGTAAATGATAGTTCTTTCATTTCTTTAACTTAGTTCAAACAATTAGAATATTTTTTTAGAAACATAGTACAAACGCAGACGCTCACAACATATGCACAATCACCTCTATAAATGCATACATGCACATCTATCTATATGAGCACATTCGAAAGACTGGGCCGGCATATCTTGAGATTGACAAAGTTATAACAAGTGTGTCACTGTAAGAATAATCAGCCATAAAGTGAGCCAACATATCTTATCTTAAGATTGACGAAGTCACCACGACTCCACAAGTCGAGGGGTACATTGTCTACCACTGAAAGAAAAATTAGTCATAAATACGATCATCCGTGTCAAATCTAAAATTTAAATTCGTATAAATTGTTCCACCACAACTAAACTATGCTCACTTCGTTCAAAACAAGAGAAATTAATAATAGAATAGATGGCTCGAATACACCGGATTGTTGATGCCTCAAGAATATGAATATTCGTAACCACTTAATTACCCATTTATCCCCTTCTGATTCGAAAATTTTAATTTATGTATACTTGCTTGACAAGAAAATACGGTTTGAAGAAGTTGAATTTTAAAAAGGGGAAGATGAATTAGTCAAAAGTCAACAAAACTCGAAAAGCCATTCATCACAAAAGGAAGTCCACATTCCCTCCCTTACTCCCGTTCCGTTTCACAGGAACACAACCAATCAGCGTCCCACCCTTGTACTGCTCCCCCCATCGAATCGAATCGAATCGAATCGAATCCCCTCACGATTCCACCAATCCTCCGCCGCCGGAGGAGGAGGCCAGGGAATCGCCGCCGCCAATGTCGCTGCCGGTGGCGAAGCTGGGGACGCTGGCGCTGCGGACGCTGTCCAAGCCCATCGCCAGCCGCCTCAAGAACCAGGCCGCCGTCCACCCCAAGTTCCGCAACTTCATCATCTGCATCGCGCAGGTCGGGGCCTCCTCCTCCTCCTCCTACTCCCCCTCATCGTGTTGTGTTCTTCGGAGAAAGTAGCGCCTAAGGGAAGGAAATTTTGATAAGGGAAAATGATCGGAGCAGCATCCGTTAGGCTCGTGGGAAGGGGATCTGGTTAGGGCTATTTACTCCCAATATCCATTTCTTGGTAACGAAAAACTTACATACTTAATGAAATGTGTGCCCCTCGGGGGAAAAAGGAAAGAGGAAATGTGTGCCCGTGAAAGGGGATTTTGCAGAGTTGACAGAATGTAAAGATAAAGAATTAAAGAGTAGTAGGAGGAAATGTGGCTGTCTTGAATCTTGATGATACTTCAGCACAGTACCATCTGGCGAATGGGTGGAGCAATTTCCAAGAAGCAACTTTAGCTGTTTGGTGTTGTGCAAGCATTTTGTAGTTTAATTGTAGGTCAGTTGGTCTTGATCATCAGCTGATAGATTCATCAATAAGCGTTTCATCCCATTTGAGGTTGTTCGATTCTGGCTTGTCAGAAATGGCTGGACACTGATCTATGATAGGTTTCTGTCTATGATGTGAGCTGTCTGCCATATATGGAGCTTCATATTTCACATATCTGACTTAGAATACACATCATATATTCTTTTAATTAGAGAAATAAGGATTGAGGAATACAGGGAGCATGAACCTTGAGGAGATTTATCCTTGTCCTTAGGATTTATGCTTTTGGAAATTTGTACATCTGGCTTTTTCTAAGATAGAGCCCTCTCAAATGTATTTACGTGTTGTGGGCTGTGGCCGTATCCTTTGTGCCCTTATGAGGTCTGACATATAACTAACCGATTGTAACTATAACAATTGTTACAGATTAACCATCGTGTTACTACAAGGATACAAAGGCGCATTTATGGGCATGCAACAGATGTGGAAATCACACCTTTAAATGAGGAGAAAGCTGTACAAGCTGCTACGGATCTCATTGGAGAAGGCTTTATTTTTTCGGTACTTCACTTAACCTACAATGAACCTTGTATGCCAATAGATTTATAGTAGCCACAGGAATATATTTGCTGGGCTGAAGTAACCTTGCTCTGTTATGTGAAAAAATAAAGAAAATAATTGAAATATCAGGAAATGAAACCTGCATCTTTTTGGTTTTAGGTTGCTGTTGCTGCTTTAATTTTTGAGGTGCAAAGAAATGCAAGGTCAGAGGCTAGGAAGGAGGAAGCTCGTAAACAGGAACTTGAGGTGGTACTTTCTAACGTGGTTCGGTCTAGCATTGACTCATTTCTATATTTTTCTCCTGGAGTTTGAACGAACATAAATATGCTACAACACTTAACAGCCATATATCCCGTATTCACTATTTAATCTTGCACGTAAGAATGAACATACAAAACTCTAATCTATAAGCCCTTATGCTGTAGCCAGAGTAATTTAAATTTGATGTCCATAGGAAGATGTTATAACTCATGATTGCAGTTTGGGTTCTGAAAATTTGTCATGTAAATACGGAGATAGACATATCTAGTATCATAACGACTAGGCCTGTTCATTCTGGGTTTACTCAATCTGTTTAAGACTGAAAAGTGGAAATCAACGTGCTTAGTGTCATATTTAGCTTAGCTCCCAGAGGACACATCAGAAAAATTACTATGCCCAGTTTTGCACAGTTCATCCAAAATCAGGAATGAACAACCCAAATAACTACACTGAATCTTGTATAAGAAAACAATTAGCAGGTGGCAACCTGATTTAGTTTAATCACCAGGAACTGGTCATGATCGATGCCTGACGTATCAGTTGATAAGACATGCTTTAGTACTATGCCTCCTGCTGTCTTGCAGTCGTTTTCAGCTGTCGCAGCCACAGCGGCTGCTGCAGTAAGCAGAGTTGAACATGTCCCAAATAATATGGATTTATGTCTAAATTTATGGAATGCACATGCAGAAATGTTTTTAGTGAACTGCTAGGTGTTCTTCAACCACACCTTGAATGCCACCCTTTAGAAACATTTTGAAGTGTGAAATCACCATTTACCTGGTGAAACTTTGCATGTGGAATGAGGATACCTATTTACTACTCACTGTTGACCAAAAAATCTCTTATTAACTATTAATTTAAAATCTTAGTTCCTGCCAGAATATTATTAGAATATGTAAAGTATGTCATTCTTGATGTGAAATGTTATAAGAAGTTAATCACCGGTCTACTTGACAATATATCATTTAAGTTATCTTCATAGTAAAAGTTAGCAATATGCGTAGGTTCAGAGAGATGTTTGTTTTCATTTCCAGGTTCCTTATTGATAATGCCAAAATATAGCTTAACGGTTGTTTTTATTGATCTCAAGGAATTGAAACAACGGGAAGAGAGTTTATCTAAAGATTTGGAGGATCTTAAACTGAGGCTTGCTGAAATTGAGCACCTCGCTAAAGGACGAGGCCTTTCAGGAATCTTGAACTTCAAAGGTGTTCATGGAGCAGAAAGCAGCAAGGCAGCAACACCTGCTTGATCAATCAAATTAACTTGGGTCAGGCGAAACAGGATGATATTTTGTTAAGTTGATGCGCAAAACACCTCAAAATTTCACTGATCTGTTTTGTGATTCTTGTGTGGCAGTTCATTGCCATGCCCATTCTTTTGGTGTATGGATCAAAATATATGCCGGATGATCCATAGACACCCTAAAATAATAGAGGCCAAGGATAGAAAAAGGCACTGTATCATGTAGATTACTTCTGGGTAAGTAACTATAGAACAAGTTCGAAAGAGTAAAAGTGAATGTGATATTGTACTTTGCTAACACATCACGCACATAGCTACGGCTGAACTGAATGCCTCCTTTTACTCTGTCTAGTGATATTTGTTGAGATTGATTGCATATCAGAAGTAAATGATTTCAACAGATTCTATCTGTTGCTAAACTAATCTGTGCCAGGAACCATGGTTCAAAAATAACCAATCGTTATGTTCTGCTGCACAGTTGGAAATGACCTTTCCACTATCTGAAAAAAAGACACTCAGTAAATATAACTGAATGTAAGCACACATGTCCTTTGTGCCGCTGCATTCTGGAATGAAATTTTTTATTCGGAGACAACATACATACCACTTCTTACAATATCACTTGAAGTTGATATAGCACATTTTTCTACTGCATATACATTTTTCTGTCCTACATTACTCGGTTGATACTAGATACTAGTACATTTTTCTACTACATTCCACTTATACATTTACTCATTTGTCCCCAAACTCCTCACATGGTACATGAGCTACTATACATCTTGCATATATTGGGAGTGTCGCTGCATGCAGCTACACAGATGTCAGATAAGAAGTTTCCATGCCCCTATTTCTGCGGTGAAATCTTCCTGTGAGCAACCTACAAAACCGTAAACCCTACTTTCAACCTTACCATCTTGTGAGTGTATATATACGTGTACATGCATGTACACGCAATCTCTCTCTCTCCTTGCTGACTCGCATCCTGCCATCGCATGCATATATATGCTAATGCTTCGATCTTGCAGCTGAGTTTGTAGAGATCGTTGTACGTACGTCGGCTTGTCGCCGGCCGTCGACATGACCGGCGGCGGCAGCGGCGGCGCCGGGGCGTGCGCGGTGTGCAAGCACCAGCGGCGCAAGTGCGAGCCCAACTGCGAGCTGGCCGCCTACTTCCCGGCGAACAGGATGAACGACTTCCGCGCGCTGCACCTCGTCTTCGGGGTGGCCAACCTCACCAAGCTCATCAAGGCCAACGCCACCGAGGCGGCGCGCCGCCGCGCCGCCGAGACGCTCACCTGGGAGGCGCGGTGGCGGGAGCGCGACCCCTCCGAGGGGTGCTACCGCGAGGTCTCCTGCCTCCGCCGCGACAACGCCGCCCTGCGCGCCGAGAACGCCGCGCTCCGCCGCCAGGCCGACCAGTGCGCGTGCTGCGCCGGCGCCGCCGGCGTCAGGCACGCCTCGTCGCCGACGACGCTGCAGCACCAGCTGCTGCTGGTCTCGGCGTACAACGGCGCCACCGCCGCCAGGCCTGGCAATGTTGTGCCGCACAACGCCACCGTCGTGCCGGGCGGCTTCGTCGCCGCCGCCGCCGGCGTCCGCGGTGCCAACGGCAATGGAGCCATGTCGTCCGTGCGGCCGCCGCCTCATCACGTGCAAGCTCCGGCGACGCAGACCGTGACCGGCTTCGTCGCGCACGCGCAGGACGACCGATACCGCGCCGTGTCTGTCTGCCCGCCGGCGGCGAACGCCGCCGCCGTGCCGAGGTCCGGCGCAGCTGTGAGAGGTCAGGGTGACTACAGGGACAAGATCAGCGACGCCGCGAGGTAAGCTGAAAGAGCTTCTCTCTTTCTTTTGTTGACGGTTCAGGGTTTGTACGGGTGGATGTATTGGCTTCGTCTGCGTTGTGTTTTGCAACTGCAGGTGATGCTGGCAGCAAATGGCCAGGAGTGGGTCAAATTAGAATATAATACACCTTCTTGAGTTCTTGTACGTTCATCAGCTTCAGAGATGAGTTTCATGCTAGTAGCAGCGTTGCCAGAAAAGCTCTAGCAATAATATGCTGCAAAAGTACTAATTAAGGTCTAGGAACCAGCTAAAAGCTCAAGCAATAATATGCATGAACATATCCCTTTGATGTATGGTTCTCAGACAAATAATGCTATCATCTCACAGAAGAAATGAATATAATCATTTCGGTTACTCCTTTAAGCTGTTAGTGCTGAACTTGAGTACTCCCTCCGTCCCAAAAAACAAACAAATATGAGATTAGATGTGACATATTCTGATACAACGAATCTAGACAGAGATATGTTTAAATTTGTAGCACTAGGATATGTCACATCCAGTACTAGGTTGGTTTTTTATGGGATGAAGGAAGTAAACTGCTGGAGTTAAACGACAATGACAAAACACTAAGGCCAACTGAATCAATTTGATATTTGTGTATGAATGACAGATCAGTAATAAAATTCATGTCTTTGAAGACGAAATGAATACTAATATATTTCCCCAGTAATCAATATTTAAGTGGAGAAATGAAAACACGACTTGTAGCACCCATGGCACGAGCTCACTGGAGGGCTTCTTCCTGCTCAAACCTCAAAAACAAACTCAAAATTCTGCATGGCTTGATGTGGGACAGCGATAACCATGTTCAAATCATGTGCAGGAAGGGTAGAAGACCAGTTACAGAGATTAAGAAGTCTCTTTAGGTACTTGTGCTTCATTGTCCCCAACTGAGCCAACATCACCATTGCTAATAAAGATTCACAAAAATGAATAAAATCAGCCATGTCCTTATGAGCATGAGCACGCAAATTTAGGAAAGCTCACCTTGACTGAGCAGGATTTTGCAATGAGGATGAGTCAACTTGCATTGTTACAGGGCCATCGTTCACTAAAGAAACCTGCAAAAGTATTGAATTTACATCTTAAAGGGTAATAGAGCACAAAAAGGCAATTACAGCATATGTTTATTCAGAGGTACCTTCATCATTGCTCCAAAAATGCCATCTGCCAAGACGAGTTAAAAGTATAGACATGTTAGAAATAGCTCATCTGACAATGGCTTACAATAAATAAATTTTGTTCTCTGAGCAAATACTTAATATAAATGTTCATGGTAATATATCAGGGAAAGTGAAAGGAAAAATAATAAAAGAGTTGAACAATTATAATATATTGATAGCAGAAGTTACTATGGTGAAGTACAATACCAGCAATACATCTTAGAATGTGCTTTATAAAATAATCTTGAGTGTAGGAACCATGAGAAACATGGAAAAAAATCACTTAAATCCGCAACACACCAACATAGCCATATTTGTGTGGATTACAAAAGAACAAATTGTAATAAGAACAACAATTAGATAACCAGGAACTCAGGACTGCTAGTTACATAGTGCAAAAAGAAATGATAGATATGCATTATATATTACCTTTCACTGCATCAGCTGAGTATGATTTCTGGAACTTCTCGACTAAAGAAGCATAGAATGGCTTTGCTTTAGCAGGTGGCATAGCCACATGAAAATCTGGCTTGTTACCCTTCAGGATTCCATATAAGGTAAATTGACTGACTGAATAGTATATCAGCTTAGTAACGGTGTCAATAACAACAAAGCTACTACAGCTTAAGAATTTTCAAATCTGGGACTAGAAATGCTGTATTATATTACTCCTACCTAATAGAACTTCAAATTTCCGCTGCAAAACCTGCAAGAAGGAAAAAGTTATTTAGGTTCATCTTCAAACCTCAAATGAAGTACAGGAGATATATGTGACATGCTTGAATAGGTTGTTTTTGTCATATTGATACCAAGATGAGTCAGGACTTACACTTTGATCCCATGCCTTTTCAGTCTTCTCATTAGGAAATAGCCTCATGTTCAGAACCTTCCGACAACTGCGTAAGGTCATGTTAGTATGAGAGTGACAATATAACACAAGGATACATCATACATTTACTGAAGATCTGAGCATAAACAAAATTGCAGGAAACGCAAAGATGGAACTTTTGTAATTGAACTAGAACTAAGAAGCTCTTTCCAAACTATACAGTATACACGTTTCCAGATCAAACATGGCAACAAGTACTAGTATCATTGATTTATCAACAACCATCATTTCTTCTCCCATTCTACATTACGAATTCATGATATCTCCCTCCACTAAAGAAGCTAAGTAGCTAATAAACACGTAAAAAATAACAGATTCCAGATTCAGTGAGATGCGAGAACGAAATAGTAAGAGCAGGTAAGCTGGGCACACACATGTAGTCAGCGTCGGCGTCGGTGTCGGCCTCGTGGACGCCGACAAGGACGAGGAGGCCGGGGCCAATCGCCGACACCACCCGCCCCTCCACCTGCAACCAAAAAACCCACGGGAACCAACCAATCAGGAATCAGCCGCTCGCCTCCTCCTCCTAGCTAGCGAGTGGGAGAGGGGAACCCGCTCACCTCGACGCTTGCCGAGAGGACACGCTGCACCACGGCCCTCATCTCCCTCTTCCTTCTCGCCTCCGCCGCAGCCGGATCTCCGGGCTTCGCGTGCGGCGCCGGGCGAGTCGCCGGAGACACCCTTGGGCGGCGGAGGAGCACGGAGACGGTGAGAGAGACGGATGGCACGATGGGCCGAGGAAAGTGGCCACGGTTCTAGTGGGCCAATATGGGCCGGGCTTTACCAGAACTGGTTGAATTTTCTCTTGGTTTACTGACTAGAAACCTGAAATTGTTCAAAACCTGACAGAATATATAACAGCACGCTAATCATATGTTCAACTAGCTGGGTGACCCGCGCAATTGCACGGCTAGCACCTATATAAAATTATATATTTTTAATATGATTTTACTTCAAATTTGTTAAATAGTTATCTCGTTGTCTTAAGATTTTTAAAGACTAAACCTTATTATCCTCGTGTTTTTAATTTTTTTTAGTTTTTAAAAGTCACAACAGTTCCTACCCCTTACTTCTGTCACATTATTCTTTATTTGCTTGCTCGATCTACCACTGTTTTCTATTCATTCTTCTTGGAATCTTTAAAAATTGGATCTAAAAACTTATAGGTTTTAGAGTTTATTGTTCTGTTGGGTATCTTTTTTATAATTTCTAGAAGTCCTGACAAACACTGCCATTATATTCATCCATGACCGTCCACTGCATCTTCTCTTTTATTGCCATCGCTATTTTAAAAATCGAACATAATTATTATTTAGGTTTATTTTTTTTACTTTCTAGAAGTTCCGCCAAAACGTCAGCGACTTTGTCACTGTACTCCTCTACGGCTCACCCGCTGCCGCCCTTCTTTATTGTCATTATGATTTCAAAATCAAACGGATTATCATTGGGGTTTATTTTTTTACTTTTTAGAAGCCCGAACCTTTAAAAATTGGAGTTTATTGTCTTGTTGGGTTTCATTTTTTTTATAATTTTTAGAAATCCCGTCAAACGCTACCACTGTACTCCTCTACGACCCATCCGCCGCATACTCTTTATTGTCATTAGGATTGTAAAAGTTGAACATAACTATCGTTGGAGTTCATTTTTTTACTTTCTAGAAGACCCACCAACCATCGTCGACTTTGCCATTGTACTCCTATACGACCCGCCCGTTGCCTCTCATTTTTATTATTATTGAGATTTTAGAAATCAAATATGATTATCATTAGGTTTATTTTTTTTACTTTCTAGAACTCCTGCCACCCGCCTTGACCGATTGCTTCACAACCTGCCCGTTGTACTTCTTTTTAGTCGTCATTAGGATTGTATTTGTTGTTTTATTAATAGTTTTTAGATGTCCCATCAATTGCCACCACTCTGCTCCTCTATAGGTATGTTACTTAATTAATCCCGTCCTATGTTTCAGATGGTTTTTTATTTTAGTAATCTTTATTTTTTATCACCAATTTTAGTTATTTATAAATTGTATTCCTAGATGATATCTTATTTTTCTTTTTCTAATTTCAGAATGTATTTTATTTTTCGTATTGTGTTCTTTTGATATTTTTATTTTTTATTTTCAATTTCAGTTGTTTTAAAATTGTATTCCTACTTTAACTCTCTTTTTAATTTGCCTAATTTCAGATTATATTTTATTTTTTATTCCAAATTTTAGTTAATCTACTATTGGGTTCTTATATTTACTCTTATTTCAATATTTCTTATATTTAATTCCGAATTTTAGTTAATTTTAAATTATATTCCTACTTGAACTCTTCTTTTCTTTTCTTTTTTCTAATTTCGATTTTTTTATTTTTTATTCCGAATTTTAATTAATCTCGTATTAGATTCTTATATAGACTATTCTTTCAATATTCCTTATTTCTAATTCCGAATTTCAGTTATTTTTAAATTGTATTCCTACTTGGACTCTTTTTTTTTTTGCTAATTCAGATTTTATTTTATTTTTATTCCGAATTTTAATTAATCTTGTATTGAGTTCCTATATGGATTCTTCTTTCAATATTCCTTATTTTAAATTGTATTTTTACTTGGACTCTCCTTTTCTTTTTTTTTCTTTTTCTCTGATTAATGTGGGAATTTCTAGCCCCCACAGCGAACGTGGTGCTTCTTTTCAAAGCTGTTTTAATAATATAATAGATAGATAGATGTTTCACTGCTTTGCCAATATTTCATCCGAAAAATTATCTTTGCCACCGAAAACATGAGAAAATGGTACCCTCAAACCTCTCGTGTAGTCATGTTTACATACTTACAAGTTATTACAGTATGAACTTTGATTTACATGGACGTGTATAAACCTGAGCAGGTAACTTTACAACATGATCATGTTTTGTTGTATTTTACAAGTAACACAATCTCTAAAGTAATTTTGTTCTACAAGCACAACAAAGCAAACCTACAACTACCAGCAACAACAGCAGCGGCTGATCTTGTAATCATTGTGAAGTCTGAGCACTAGTTTGCGTTTCAGCTGCTTCTCCTGAAGCACCATCTCCATGGCCATTTTCAGTTGTCGGATGACCATCAATAGGTTTACCCTCAACTGGAACAGGCCCTTCTTTCACCAACTCAGATGCTTGAGCTTCAGTCTGCTCTGGGATATCAGACAGCTTGTCCTCTGGTTTCTTCCTGGAAATCTTTCTACTCAGTATGCTTGTCAGTGATCTACCTGGCTCACCTGCGTTTTTCTCCATCACCTTGGCTACATCTTCTGTCAAGTTCTCTGCATCTCCCGCACTCCTTGTCGGTTTCGCATCTTCATCGACTACTATCTTTATCGATGTCCGTTTTTCACCGGCCTCCTTAAGGTTTGGACGTGGAGTTTGTGGGATCTTCGGATCAAGCTCTGTTGCACTCTGAGGCCCTGGCGTTGTAGGAATACCGGGATCAATATCATGGAAACTTCCCTTCTTCAAGCTCTTCCGGAAAAAGGAGCCAAAAAAACCCCCTTGTCCACTGCTTTTTGGGGTAGGCGCATCCTTTGATTTGTCAACTTCTTTGTAAATCTCCGTGTCAGGATTACGTGCTCGCCCTTTCCGTGATTCCCATGTCTTGGGAACTCCAGTGCCAGGGCGATGCACATATAATCCTCCAGGTTGTTCTTGCCCATCAATGTTAATGTGCTCCACTTCATCTACTAAGACTTGCTTTTCATCAGGCAGTTCATCAGCATTAAACTTGTTGACGGATGTTGATATTGGTAGTTCAGCATCAACTTTCCTTGATGATTCTTCCAACCCCTTCTCCTGAAAATACAATTGTGAATGAGTTTAGGTAGGGGCGAACTTCAACAGTTTAAATACGTACTTGCAGTTTCCTTTTAAAAGCTTTCAATGCATAATGTATAGTTTAGCTCAACAGTTGTTTTACTAGATAATATTCTGATGAAGAGGATGTGTCTAGTGCTATCAATCATTTTGCTGCAACTTCCCTACCTTCATGAAATGACTACTTACATGTTCCAAAAATATACGGAAAAAAAAATTAAAAATGTTATCACCAACCTCTGATATATCTTCAACTGTTATTGCCAAGTGAATCCTTCCTTTCTTGACATTCTTGAGTGATATCCATTTGTCATGTCTCTGACCACCCCTCAGCTCATGGATATCTATAGTACATGTTCTGTAAACAAAATGAAGTGTAATGTACTTTCACTTTTTTTCTAGTATAAAATACCAAATAGGTCAATTCAATATAAAACATCAGAAAGGCTAACTCTGAGGCTGAGATAAAATAAGTGCCAAGTTGTCATCTTTTACAAAGTTAAACTGAATACAGCAATGAGTTGATGCCAAATATAGCTGACCATTTAGCAACACGAGTTCAGTAAACAGGACATACCCAAGCGAGTCATCAAACATGTGGTCCTTATCACACACTTCCATGGCAAGTTCATTTAATGACTCCCACGATGTAATGGGTATTTTGAATTCTTCAAACCACTTAGGGGATAGTGTTTTCTTCTGTATCTGAGTTTGGAATTTAAAAGGACCAAGACGACCTTTCACATAAGGGTCGGAGAGCCCTATATAATGGAATGTAAGGTGAGTCAAAATCAAACAACGGGCAACATGAACATTAATGCAGGTAATTCTCACCATTCATATCAGATGGTTTCATGTCGGATCCTTCTAAAATCTCAAGTTTCACATATGCAACAGGAGGTCTCTCCTCAATGCTGAACCAGTCATTGTCTGCAGAATGTGAAGAAGTTAATGCAAAGTAAACAGCAATAATGGTTATCATATTTTTTCTTGAAACAAGACTGGAAGTCTGTCATCAGAGAAAGTTAGAAAGAGAAATACTCTTTTTCTAAAAAAAGGTAGGTTAAAAAACACAAGGCAATGACAGGGTTTGAAGGGGCGTATCCTATTAGCATTTGCTAGAACACTTGGCTAAAGCAAGTGGTCTAAAGAGGCCGATTCATATGATAATAGACTAACCCTACAATTGTTGGAAGCTAACACAAAATATAGGAGGATTGAAAGGAAAACAACAGGAATGAAAGGATGATTCCTTAAACACAAGCAGAAAGCAAAGCTTCCTCCTACCTGAGGGAGTCGATACAAATTTTTCCACATCGATAACAAGCATATTGGGCTGGAAGAAGAAAAGTTGCATCAGCAAGGAAAAAATATACAATGAACAGCCTTCAGCCAAGGTTCATAAAAATCTAACCTCAACTAATGTCTGCCCAAATGCAGTATCCATCAACTTATCCTGGAAAAATTCCAAGGGGCCAAGTGATCAGTAAAAAACAAATTCACTAACATTGGAGAAACGAAAATTATGGTACAGGAGAATCACCAGCCATCCTGAAATTCCTGGAAACTCAGTGACATCAAGCCCATGACCAATGAGTGGCTTTACAGTCATCTGAAAATAAGGAGGCTCCACAAAACATAGTCTTACACGGCCAAGAAATGGCCAACTCCGGACAAACTTCACACCGACTAGAATCTGCATGATGAACATATGCATGTTCTGAGTACAATGTAAGGGAAGAAACTGCTTAATGAACGAATATATGCAGAAACTCTATAACTTTTTATCCTGATTTCCTGGGGAGGGTTTTTTACAATAATATTTTGTTAAACAAACAGTTCAGTGCCTCTCTTACATTTTTAGATAATGATCTCCCTTTACTATTTTACTTTCTTAAAAATGAGAAGAATATGTATCTCCTTTCTTGACAATGAAGTCCCCATTCCCTTTGTTAGCATCACAATCAACCTACACAAGCAACAATGGTGCTTGCCTAGAATTTCTTTGCCTCCATTAAGATAACGAAGGATTTTTTTTCTGTTCCTTTCGCTGGGTCAACAATGTCCTTATCTGTTTTTTTCAAGCAAGGTTAGTAGAGAGCATTGACCATTTTTTAGCAAGAGGTTAATAAAAAAATTATGTCATCAATTTTTTTTTGGGAGAATTATGTTACTCATGTAGTTTTGAGTTAACATGTTAATTTGAGTATAATGAACACGGAAGATCAAGAGACTTCTGCAATATGTGTATCTTGTTAATCTGTATAGTTTGTTCACATACTATTTGGATATCAGAGGCAACATCATCATAACATAAATTTCAATCCACTTAGGATGAAAGGAGCTTTCTTATGTTAGAGGGAAATACACCATACTTGTCTCAGCACCAAATATCTGTCTGCTTTCGTTAGAACCACAAACAAATAGCTTGGATGATTTCAAGATCAAAATAGACTGAAAAAAAACCTGAAAAAGTTAAGTGTGCCTAATGAAGCAGACTGTAAAAGATACAAATAAATCTAGTGATTGGACTTAGTGTAGTATCTCCGAAATCAAACTTACCATTAGATATAAACAACACAGAACTTGAAAATCCATGTGCTGTAACGGCTTTAAAAGTTGATTATTTCTAATAGTATGTTAAGTTGATCTTGTTAGTGACAGAATAATGAAGCTAAGTAGATAAATTGCATCCCCTTAAAAACGTAGAACTTGCCTTTCCCTCAACATGCATGCTAGTCAGATGCATGTTTGCAGTCATTCCAAGTCCGACACTCTTATGCAGCTGCATAGAAAGTACAGCACTCATATCTTCAGCAGATAGAAAATTCATCCCTATCTCCAGAACCTGGCCATCAGATGGCACAAAAATCATTACAATTTTTACCATGGACGAAAAAGAAATACTCAAATCAGAAGACATTAGTACCCACCAAATGGTCATCATCTGATGTCTCAGGTAAAACTCTCATTGAAGTAAACAGTGGTGAATTCCTGCCCATATAAAGCTCCTGAACTCCTGCTTTACTCTGCGGGATAACTACAACAGTTGAGCTATTGAGGGCAATGCCTACTTAAAGAAATAAAAATAAATTTATAGAACTTCATGGCAAAACTAGAACTTCAAGGTACAATTCATATAGTGGAATCTCATCAATTGCAAAAGCAAGAGGCAAGAAGGAAACCGTACAACTGTCCAAGGTTTGAACTTATCCAAGAACCATGGTATTATGGGTCGTAGAAGTTGTGAGACGATCTTCTCCATACAGATAGGCCACATCTTTTTTATTGCATAATTTAACCAGCGTACTGATTCTGCATCAGATAGCAGCTGATACATAAAACAAAATGAGCTAAATCTACTCAAGCGTTCTCAGACGTCTCAGTAGAAATAGAAAAGTAGCAAAAGAATGTGGGAGCCTAGTTAACCAGGTTCATCCTTGCAAAATATAAAAGAAGAACAAATCATAGATCATAGAAAGGAGCATACTCTTCGTTGGTAGGCAGATTTCATTTCTTCATGTTGTATTCTCTTCCGCAATTTCATTGCACAGCGAGCATTTACCTACAATGAAAAGGTAACACAATATTTACTTTAGTTCTGGAACGAAAGAGTAACATATTTTTGTTTCATTTCGATTATCTGATGTGTAAGACATGCCGATTCATCTATATTGGAAGTATGAAACTATGAATTCCACTCTATCTCTTTTATTTAAAAGAGAAATAAATTCTATTCCATAACATGAACTTTAGTACATATCCAATTGTGACCAAATAATTCCATAAAAAAGGGCCAAAATACAAAAATTATGGAATACATAAGATTAATAGGGCAGTATTGATGTCCCTACCATTGTACCAGCTGATATATACATATGGATAGAGAACTATCAATTAGCACCATGTCCCAGTGGTAATCAACCAACCATAGTCCATAGCACACAAGCAACCATATAGCATGTTCAACCATTCCAAAGCATGTCGATATACATCATTTTCTCCCATACACACTAAGAATTATACACTCAAGTTTAAAGAAAGCGCAACCGGAATCAGATATTAAATCAGTCACATCGCAGAAAGGAAAGAAATTTGCAACCGGAATCAGATACAAAATCAGTCGCATCGCAGAAAGGAAAGGAAAGGAAATTTTCTGATAGAAACAAAAGGCAAAAAAAAAAACCTCCCAGAGAGCGATGCATCCATCACAACTGTCACCTAAGCATATGCCGTAAAGGAGCTCAAAAAAGATAAAAAAAAAAGTCGCATCAACTTATCAGCGAGAGGCGCGGGCGGCAGCGGCAGAAGAGCACCGTACCATGTAGAGGTAGAGGAAGGCGAGGAGGAAGAGGACGGAGTGGCGGAAGCCGAGGGAGCCCGCGGCCCACAGCGCGGCCAGCACGATGCCGATGTGGTACACGATGGGCAGCTCGCCGGCGTCCATCTCCCCTCCCCAGCCGACGGCTGCTCCGCCGCGGAAGCGGAACCCCCGCGCTCCGGGCCGGCCGGCGAGCCGGCGATCTCTTTTGCCGCGAAGAGCTAGTCGGAAGTGGCGGGCGCGAATCTGGGTGGAAACGGTGGCGCACGCGCGGACAAGGCGACGAGCCGACGAGAGTGAGGCGTGGTCTGGTCCGGAAAAGTTATTTTGGGAAATGGTAGGGGCCTAAGTGAGAAACTGTTGCCAGAAAGGCACCCAACGTCGACCAACAGAAAAAGGTGCTCGCGCACGCGCACCCAACTCAACTCCGGCTCGGTCAGGTTCATGTCATCATGTGCCAATGGGCACAACCTCTTTCGTGACTGGTTGTTGTCTAACACTATCAAGTTTTAGGGGCTGTTTGGTTCCCAGCCACACTTTACCATTACTTGCCAACAAAAGTTGCCACACCTTGTCTAAGGTGAAGTGATCAAATTGTTAGCCACAACTTACTAAGCCTAAGGGAATCTTGCCACACTTTTTTGAGCCATTGACACGTGGGACCCAATTTGTTGGAGGGGAATCTTGCCACAACTGTGGCTACAACCAAACACCTGTCAAATTTGCCTAACCTTAGGCGTGGCAAACTGTGGCAAAGTGTGGCTTGCAACCAAACACACCCTTAGTAATATGAAAAAAATAAATTGCTAAATTTTGGTAATGTAGGGTAGGGGTATATTTTGGTGGTAGTAGGCTGTGTTCGTTAGAGAGGGTTGCGAACCTATCATCTATGCACGGAAAACGGAGCGGTATATTAGAGCGTAATTAATTGATTATTAGCTATTTTTTTTAAAAAAGGATTAATTTAACTTTTTTAAGCAATTTTTATATAGAAACTTTTTTAAAAAACGTGCACGCGGAACACTGCCTTAAGAGTGGAAACTTCGAGGGAAGGAAACTGTGTCAGGGTAGAAATAGTTATTATTATACATGTTCTGTTTGTTGCTTTATCAATTTTAAGTACGGTTGAGTCGATAACAAACCAAATAAATAAAAAGCTTTTATTTATGGTTGGTTTTACATCATATTAGAAGGCTAATATTACTAGTCCTATCTAACATAAAAAAATAGTTTTTCTAACTCCATTATTACGTATACACAATCTTTACACGGCCAGTGGTCTGTAAGTGTAGTGGACTGAAAATTTGATGAGGCGTGAAGGACCAAAATGTTTATAAGATCTATATCAAGTTAGAAACAAACAAGAAAAGCATATTAATTGAATTCCACACCATGATATCAGTCAGATACTAACCCTACACACCATGACATCAGTGAAATACTAACCTGCACGGTTTTCCCCGGTATGTCAAAAGTAAATCAACTAAAATACTCTACAGTCGTGAAGTAGTGACTAGTTTTGTCGACTAACACTCTGCAACTTGACCCCTCCACAAATATCAGATCATCTCTTGACTTATATTTATAATTATTCATATTATTTATTAATAACTAAAATATAAAATATACTTCTATATACTAGTAATGTCCTTAGCTATTTAATTAAAAATAAATACTGTAAAATAAACTACAATAGAAAACTATATAATCAACCTCAAACCAGCCACACATCAACACCTAACATCAGCTTGTAATACTAGTACTAACTTTGTACTAAATAAATAACCAGAGACGCGGACTTGTTTATCTTGCCGACACGGATATTCCCGGGCGATGGCTTCACCTCACCTGCCAGCTCACGTCGTCCTCACGTGCCGACGCTAATCTCAAACCCCGTGCCCACCGTGCGATCTGGAGCACGTTAATTGGTGCTTTGGTGACCATGCCATATCTTAACCGCAAGAAACCTATCTTAAGGCTTAAGCTAAACAAGTGTCCACTCCACAGTACGTAATTATTTCTCCTTAGCTCATCATCAAGCAGAACAATTATTGTCGACGATATAATCCATTTGGATATTGGGAATTTGGGATTACCCGGGACCAGAGACGATGCCGTGGGTCCACCGTCCACGTACGATTGTTGCTGTAGTTAATTAGGCTGGAGATATTGTCAGGATTCAGAAAGCGATGGCCCGTGGAATTCGTGCATATATGGAGTACGTGCCATGTTGAGCCAGCCAGCAGCGTGCAGGGTCCCCTGGTCCGGTCGTTCTCTTGTGAGTGAGTAGTGATGGTGCACCAGAGAGCATTCTATCTGTGACATCTGGCGTTAATTCTACTGTGTGATTGAGCAGATTAAAAGGGAATAAGCTAAACGATATACCTATCTCTATCTCTATCTCTATCTCTACTATTATAAAAATTAAAGATGTTTTTACCGGTACTTTGGTACGTCATCTGTTGATGAGTTGGTTTTTAAGTTCGTTCGCTTTTAGAAATACAGATCTATATTTCCGTATTTGAGTCAAGTTTTAAGTTTGTTCGCTTTCAGAAATACATGAGCAATCGTATAAGAAATATCTTTAAAAAAACTTATATGTTAACTTAAGATGATCGGACTCCTAATTACAGCTTATGATTTTCTAGAAAAAAAATAATATATCTAAGCGAATTATCACGATGAATTTCACTTTAACTAAACCGTATAACAATAATAAAATTAAAATAGCCTTTACCCGTTGCAACGCACGTGCATTTTTTCTAGTAGATAAAAAATAATTTATAAGTAAAACGTTTATATACGTGTTTATAATGATTTAAAAGCAAATGAAGAAAATAAACTACGTACAATGAAATAGCTTTAAAATCAACTCTAAATTTAATGTTCAAAATTTAATTTTTGGCTTGTGGTAATGGGCTATCTGAGAATCCAATCCTAATGAGACGATCATACGAGACACCGTGCTTAAATTTTCTTCCAAGAGCCAGATTCTTCGAAATGTCCGAATGGTCGGCGCCCAGATCTCTCTCCTTCTTTATTTATCCTGATAAGCTAGTGATTACTAATTAGGGTACGTGAAGATAGTACCGGCCTCATCTTTTCACTTATTATTATTATTATTATTATTATTATTATTATTATTATTATTATTATTATTATTATTAGGAAAAAGTACGAATTACCTCTCGAACTATCGCGGTCGTCCGAATTACCCCCTGAACCACAAAACCAGTCATTTTTCACCCCCAACTATATAAACCGGACGAATTAGCCCCGAAAATGCTTCGTATCGAGCGTCCGATACGAGACAAACTCCGGACGGTCGATGGGGCCCACCTTTCCCCATCTTATCCTCTTCCTTCTCATCCCCAACCTCTCGTTCAACTTCTTCTCAACGTCTCCACGCTGCATACGCGGCTACGGCGTCATCAGCCGGCGCCGGTGCCGCCACCGCCGCTGTAGACGGCGGGGCTGCCGTCGCGGATGGCCGGATTCTGGTGTCGCCGGCGACGTTCATCAGCGGCGTCGTGTGGCAGACGCGGTGGCCGTGTTCCTGGTGGCACTGGCAATGGAGGCGTCGGGCGGCGTCGAACGGCGACGACCGCGCGCCGCTGTTCTTCAGCTTCTCCCCGACGACAGATGGAAAAGGAAGCGTAGGGTGGTGCTCGTCGCCGGCGAGGACTACCATGCGCTCGAGTGGTGGCCGGTGCAGCAGTTCCGACAGCGGGATGCGGTGAGCGCCGGCAACCACATTGGCGGCAACGGGGCAGCACGACGGAAATGCTTGAGACGCCATTACCTGAGAGGGTTCTGAGCTCGGCGACGAAGGTGAGGAGGCTGCACACTACATGTTTTTTGTTGCACATAGTGTGTTCCTGATGTTGCAATCCATTTTTTCTGGATGTTTCTTAAATCGGTAGTGGATGTTGCATTTGGTTTCTTCGGATGTTGCATATATTGGTTTTTTTTGTTGCAGACAACATTATCGAGTGTTGCATTCGATTGAAACATCTTCGATAAAGCGGTGAAACACGGTGAAACATTCAATGAAAGATGAAACATCAAGAAACAATTTTTGTTAAAACATTTTTTTTTCGAGCGGTGAAACATTGCAACATTCATTCAACATAATGTGAAACATCGTCTGGAGATTTTATGTTGAAACATTTTTTTTTTCGAGCGATGGAACATTGCAACATTCATTCAACATACAGTGGAACATCGTCCGGAGATTTGCAAATCTCCAGACGTCCGATGCGTAGCTTTCTCCATTTACCCCCCTCGACCCAATCCGCAGTAGTTTTAGTCCATGTAGCGTACGCGTGGCAGCCCAGTCAGCATTCTATATATATAAAAAATTGTGGGACCCACCTGTCATATGGTCTTCTCTTCAAAATCTCTCTCTCTCTCTCTCTGCGATGCAGGGCGACGGGGCGAGCAGGAACGGCGGGCGCGGCTGGCGGCGAGCGGCGGCGGGCGCGGGCGGTGGCGGGCGCGGTTGGCGGCGAGCAGCGGTGCGCGGGGGTGGACGGGCGGCGGCGGTGCGCGGGGGCGGACGGTCGGTGGGCGGCGGTGGCGGAGGTGGGGGCTGAGGGCGGCGGCGCGGAGGCGGCGGCTGAGGACGGTGGAGGTGCCGCCGGTGGTGGTGTTGCCGCCGCGTCGCCGCTCGGCCTAGACGACGCCATCACCGCCGCTATGACCAACGGTGACGACGATCCCCGGGCGGCGGAGCGGCGGTACGCCGGATGAGCGAGGTGGACCGGGAGGAGCTCCGGTGCGTGCGCCGCGCGTTCGCCAACCTCGACCGTGCCTGCAGGAGCACCTGCAGGGTGCCGCCGGGGAGGCCTGCGCGCCGCATCCGGTTCTGCTTGGTGGGGGGAAAACTCGTGCGGGAGGGCGAGGAGTCGAGGAGGAAGGGAAGGGGAAGCACGAGGGGGTCCCCACGGCGAACAGCGGCGTGGGGGAATCGCCGTCGTCGAAGGTCGCCGCCGCCGCCGGGTCGTCGGAGGAGGATGAGCTGTGCTCGGTGTTTCGTTCTGCTCGCTGCGCTTCTAGTTGAGCAATCCTCTTCAATCTATGGGAGGCGGCGCGGGTGCGCGGGGGCGGCGACGGCGTCGTCTAGGCCGAGCGGCGACGCGGCGGCAACACCACCACCGGCGGCACGTCCGCCGCCCTCAGCCGCCGCCCCCGCCGCCCTCAGCCGCCGCCTCCGCGCCGCCGCCCTCAGCCCCCACCTCCGCCACCGCCGCCCACCGACCGTCAGCCCCCGCGCACCCGCGCCGCCCGTCCGCCCCCGCACACCGCCGCTCGCCGCCACCCGCGCCCGCCGTTCCTGCTCGCCCCGTAGCCGTGCATCGCCCCGAGAGAGAGAGATTGAAGAGAACCGTATGACAGGTGGGTCCCACAATTTTATATATATATATAGAATGCTGACTGAATTGCCACGTGTACGCCACGTAGACCAAAACCACCGCGGATTAGATCGAGGGGGGTAATTCGTCCGGTTTGTATAGTTGGGGGTGAAGAATGTCCAGTTTTGTGGTTCAAGGGGTAATTCGGACGACCGCGATAGTTCAGGGGGTAATTCGTACTTTTTCCTTATTATTATTATTATTATGTTTCCTCCGTCCTAAAAAAAATTAACGGATTTAACCCAATCCCCTTCCAGTATAATCAATATGAACTACAATAAATCTAGTTTTTTTTTTACGGATGGAGTACTTATTAGTCAAAATTTGAATTTTGAACCTTAAATATGAATTTAAGCTGATTTTAGGATTTTTTTTTACCGAAGTTTATTTTTCAGCCTTTGATTTTAGATTGATAAGAACATGTATATAAAAGTTTTGTTTAGAAATTTTCTTTTCATTTGCAAATATGCCGTTTGGCTTACTCAACGATGGGAGCCTACCTTTCTCCTCTTTTTTTTTTTTTAGTTTTGGCTGTTCTTCTCTCATCATCAATTCTATAGTTTAGGAAAAAGTACGAATTAGCCCCCCGAACTTTTGCGGTCGTCCGAATTACCCTCCGAACTACAAAACCGGGCATTTTTTACCCCCAACTATGTAAACCGGACAAATTACCCCCCTCGACCCAATCCGCGGTGGTTTTGATCCACGTGGCGTACGCGTGGCAGTCCAGTCAGCACTCTATTTATAAAAAAAAATTGTGGGACCCACCTGTCATCTCCTCATCCTCTCTTCCTCTCTCTTCTCTCTCACGGGGCGGCAGTGGGCTGGAGGAGGCGCGGTGGCGCACCTGCGGGCGGTGGAGGGCGCCGCCGCGGAGGCTCGCGCCTGGACGAAGTCCGCCTCCGCCGCCGGCCGCCCGGACGAGGTTCGGCCTCCGCCACCGGCCGCCCGGAGGAGGTCCGCCTTCGCCGCCGGCCGCCGACCGGACGAGGTCCGCCTCCGCCGCCTGCCGCCGACCGGGCGAGGACCGCCTCCGCCGCCGACTGCCCGGATGAGGTCCGCCCGCCGCTGGCTGCCATTCCGAGAGCATGCGCAAGAGAGAGCAGGGGGGATCCTTGGCGCCGCCCGCCGCCGCCGCGTCCTCCCGCCGCAGCCGTCCGAGCTGCGGGCGCCTCCTCCGCCGCCCGAGCTTCGCCTCCGCCTATCGCCATCACCGGCCCGAGCTCTGCCCGCCGCCGTCATCTGCTTGCTCTGCGAGCGCCCCCTCCACCGCCTCGACGAGCCGTGCACCGGCAGTTGCGGGCTTCTCGAGCTTCGCCGCCCCGAGCGCCGGCAGCTACAGGCTCCTCCTCTGCCACCCGAGCTCCGCCTCCGCACATTGTCGTCGCCGCCCCTCTCCGCCGTTGCCTCTCGGTGACAGAGAGATGGAGGTCCGCCGCGGGCGCCCGTTCTTGGCGAGAAGAGAGAGAAGAGGGGACAAACTGACAAGTGGGCCCACGCGTACGCCACATGTACTGCCACGTGTACTAACTGGACTGCCACATGTACGCCACGTGGACCAAAACCACCGCGGATTGAGTCGAGGGGGGTAATTTATCCGGTTTGCATAGTTGGGGGTGAAGAATGCCCGGTTTTGTGGTTCGGGGGGAGGGGTAATTCGGACGACCACGGTAGTTCGGGGGGTAATTCGTACTTTTCCCTATGGTTTTAATTGCATTAGTAGTCGATGTATACAACTTTTAACATAATACCAAAGCGAAATGTTTCGAGTTCCAATCCCACATTCTCATCTTTTAGCTTACGCTTATGCTTATCAGCCAAAATTTAAATTTTCAACCTTAAATTTGAAGTTGATTTTAGGGGTTTTCATTGAAGTTTATTTTTCGGTTTTTTTATATCGTTAAGAACACATATATAAAACTTTTTTCTCAAATTATTTCTCATTTGTAAATATGTTATTTGGTTTATTCCTCCATTTGTAAATATTGCTTGGTTTATTCCTCCAACAAGTGAAACGATGGGATATCTAATAGAGAAAATTGATATTTAGCCATTCTCGGGTTGGGGTTTCGCCAGAATGCCATCGCCGAATGTGGCTTCGTTATAATGCCATCTTCAAATGACCCCATCTTGCCACACTGCCATTTTAACCAATTTTGATTATTTGCAAATGTTTTCCACCATTTTGCTTATTTGGTTTGACCCAAATGCCCTTGCCTCAGCCGTGGGGCCTGCTTGGCAGGAGCGTCTTCCACCTTCGTCCACCACCATCCTTCTCTCTTCGATGAACTCATGCCCCAAATTGATCTCCCTCCTTGGTTGCTCTTGCCCAAATTTGAATGCAAAAATCAGTTCCTCTCGTCCTCCTCATCAATTCCCCCGACAAATCCCACTCAAATCGGCTTAACTCCGTGGTGGATTTTAAAGTCCCTCTTCAATGGCGAGCTCCACCATGGCCGGCGTCGATCTCTCTCCCCGATGAGGTTGAAGGGCCCGCTCAAGCGACTGGACGTTGCGGGTGGAGCTGGCTGCGGCTGCGCGCGCGAGCAGGTCCCCTCGACAAGGAGCTCCGCCGTGAGCAGGTCGCTGCCCACATCGAGGAGCTCATCGGAGAAGGGGATGACACCGTGGCGCGCGGTCAGGTCGAGTGCTTGGTGCGCCGCGCCGCCGAGCCGAACTGTCGTCCCCGTCCACGCCGGCGCCTTCCTCGTCCCAAGGCGCGCTGCCTTCCCCGTTCCCGGTCGCCGTCGCCACCGCCGGCAACTTGTGCGTGAACCCGGTGAGCTTCGCCGTCAAGCTGGTGAGGGCGGTGAAGGGCGGCGTCGGCACCATCCCCGACGTGGCCAGCTTTCTCATCTCGTAGCGGTACGGCGATGGTCTCGAGCTGCGCCAGCGCCACCCACCATCTGCAACGAAGAGAGGATGAGGTAAGAGAAGAGAGATGAGATAGGATCCAAGGGTATTTTTATCATCTCAGCAAGAAAAAATCATTAAATTGAGAAGAAATGGATGAAATGGCATTGCAACATGTTGCCCCTGTTTGAGAGTGATATTTTAACGAAATCATTTTTAAAAGTGTTATTCTAGCAAAACATGTTTTGACAATGGCAAAATGTCAATTTTCTCGACCGATTTATCGAGGGCCCGACACGGTCGTAGTAATAAGATGGCACGGTCCCGTTCGTCGATCAGCGTCACGAGCCATTAATTCCTTTCTCGCGACAGGAACAGTAGAATGGATCCCCCAGGTACGATCTGGACCGTCGGTCACGCATCGGACGGACCACGCGCGCTCGAGGCCCCCCGACCCCGTCGCTGTACATCCAAGCTGTCTAAACGCCCCTCGCCTGGGCTCTCGTCACCAGTGTGAACGCGGCAAGGAGGAAGAGAGGACGAGATGGGCGGCGGCGGCGGCGACGAGCGCGAGAAGGCCAAGGGCGGCGGCGGCGGAGGAGGAGGAGGAGGTGGAGGAGGAGAGTACGGGACGTTCCAGGGCCCGCCCAGCTACCCGCCCCCGCGCCCGCCGGTCGTCGGGTACCCGCAGCCCGCGCCGCCGCCGGGGCTCTACGGCCAGGGCGATCCATACTACCGCCCCCGCGGCGGGTACCAGGGCATTCCCGGTAATGTTCTGGCCTGCCTGGTTTGGGGGATCACGAGGGATGCGGGTTAGGTTAGGTCTGGACTGGATCACTGGAATTTCGGTGGTGCGTGATCGGGCTCAAATCGTGGAGGGGTTCTGCTTGATCTGAACCATCTAGAACCGGTTGATGAGTGATTGGTCGAAATTGAGGTGAATTGGAGGATTAGAGGGCGTTTTCTTACAGATCTTTGGCATGATCACGCGATCCGGGATCTATCTGCTTGAAATTTACCGTGCTTTGTGGAATTGAAGTTTTTATTTACTGCCATTATGCAATTTTTTTCGTGTTGTTGGTCCAAGATATGCAAAATCTTAGGTGGTCTGCTTGAAACTTACGTGATGTCCAGTTGTAGGCGAGTAGTGTGCTCCTGTTGTTTAAAACTCATTGCTCCATTACTCCATAAACCTGGGCAGCTAGTGTAGTGACTACTGGGGTGGTGCTTAATGGCAAAATTAACACCTCTTTAGTACCTTAGTTTGATTGGAGTTTTGTATGTAATCAACGGTGAAATATTTTGGCACATGGAGTTCGATTTTTCTGACATAAAAAGCAGTCCTTTACAGAATTGAGTTAGTCCAGTCTTTATGTATTTATTATATTCCAAATTAACTAGTACTTATTCAGATAAGTTTTGTTACAAAATTACCAGTACATTGTAACCTCGTTGCTCTTCTTTCAGCTCGAGATTATGAAGCAGGTGCTCGTGGACATGGTCATGACCGCCTTCCTTGCTGTGGGATTGGCATTGGCTGGTTTTTGTAAGCGAGCATTGCTTTGTTCTTCTATTTCTTATTGTAGCAACATCATCTTTGAAATCTGGAAAAAGTACCCCAAAAGTTTTAGGTGCATCATGCCATTTCTTGAACTGTACCTGCTTATCCTCATGACAAACCCTTGTTTTTTAGATTCATAGTCGGTTTCTTCCTCGGTGCTATTCCTTGGTATGTCGGAGCATTCCTACTGTGGTGTTCTAGAGTGGACTACAGGGAGAAACCAGGATATGTAGCATGCGCTATAGCGGTAAGTAACATAATTTATTCTTGAGTTCATCCGATACTATAACATTATTTGTTTTGATTCTTACTGCAGTGCATTGTACCATTTCTGCTGCCTATTCCATCTGTTCTTTTTCGGTGTGTGTGATCAAACAGATCAGTACTAGTCATTTACAAGGAATACATAATTCCATTTGTCATACTTGTGTGTTGAAACTTGAAAATATATTTCTCATGACATGCTGATGTAAATATTAGTTCACCTCAGGATTGTACATGAAGTTTGTGCGCGCTTGTTTTGGGTTCCTCGTATAGCTGTTTACATGAATAATCTTCATGAAACAAAAACGAATGGTCAAGCACATCGGCTATTTGTCCATCTTGCTCTTGTAAGGCGTGAAGTTTGGTTTCTAAAAACAAAGCAACTATCAGACTTTGTTGTGCAAATACTGAATAATGCATCAGGAGCAAGTAGGGAACTAGGAATTGGACTGATGACTTTATAGATGTTAGCCTCAGCATTCCAGCAAAAAAAGTACTGCAAAAATAGGTTACAGGTACAATAATGAACTTGTTGTGTCTGATCTTTTTTTCAATGTTTTTTTCAATGTTGGTTCAGAAAAAAACAATAGAGTTAACTTCGTTCAATCATATACAGTGCATACCTTAGGTTACTGTTTTTCATGTTTGAAGCATCTCTGCTCTTCACCAGTTGCACGCTTGCTTGAGCCAATACCATTATAATCCACACGAGTTTTGGACATGTATGTAGCCAGAGCATATATATACATGAAGGATCAAGTCCAGAGAACATTGTCGTACTTTAACATAATTCGTTCATTGATGCATATTCTCTTGGTAACACCAACAGCTAATGTAATGATAAGTGGAAATGGCTTTGATGAAATTCTAGATTGATCAGTTATCTAGTTTCAGTCGTACCTTGTATTTTTTAAAAAAATTCCAGTCACTCTAATGGCATTTTTATGATGTAACAGGCTGTCCTTGCCACCATTGCTATAATAATCGGAGCTACCGCTGGAGCTGCTTAATTACATTTTACATTGTGTCGTTATTGTACATACTGTATATCTCATGGATGCACAAACATTTAGTATGTCGTCTGCGATGTACCTTATTCAGCTTTTCTTTTCCGTTTGATTTTTTAATGTTTAACAAGGAGAACGGATGCCCTTGTTCATGGTCATAAATAAATCAGGTTGAGACGATTTCGCCTTTTGAATACCTACATCTAATGTGACAGGAAAATAGAAGTTGTGGCTTGGTTTTCAACTTTTGTCACTGTCAACTGGTGATCTAGTAGTAGTCACTTGCTCGATCTGACAAGAAGTGTCTGATGAAGTCTGGATTTGTTATCCCATCGCAGAGCTTAAAGTAGTAATGTACTCCTTCCGTCCCATTTTAAGTCCAGTAGGGTTTATGAAAAGTTTGTGAAAAAAATAAAAAAAAGTCACGCATAAAGTACTATTCAAGTTTTATCATCTAATAACAATAAAAATATTAATCATAAAAAATTTCAAATAAAACGGACGATTAAACATTGGACACATAATCCCACAACTATACTCAATAAGGTAGCTGTTTGGGTTACCAAAAAAAAAAAGTCATATTCACATTCACAGTTAGTTGTTTGGGTTGGAGATCACTGCAAAACCTTGAGTCTCTGTGTGCCCAGGTCCGAAGAGCAAAATACTTCCCACAGGGGAACATCTTGCAGGCAAAGCAAACAGCAAGCATGTCCTACACTTGGAGGAGTATCTGTCGAGGCCTTGGGGTACTGAAGAATGGGATGATATGGAGAGTTGGTAATGGTTCACACATAAATATTTGGTCTGACCCGTATTGGTCAGTGGCCAAACAAGGAAACCAATTACGCCGAGAGGCAACAATATTATAACGGAGGTGGAGGAACTAATTGATCTAAGTACTAGGAGTTGGGATCTTGAGTTGCTAAGGCAAACTTTCTGGGAGTAGGATATTGACACAATTCGCTTGATCCCAGTGCACATTGAGATGGATGATGTACTGGCATGGCATTATGACGAGAAGGGGTTGTTTTTGGTGAAATCGGCATATAAAGTGCACCGAGACTGGGAGAGACAGAGACAAAGGAGAGGAAATGCAGCTACATCCAATGAGAGTAACAAGCCTGATCTTTTTCTGGAAGAAGGTATGGAATATGCAGGTTCCGAGAAAGGTGAAACACTTCATATGGAGGCTTTGTCATAACAGTTTGGCCCTGAGAACAAACCTGGGTCACTGAGGAATGGATATAGATACCAGGTGCGTTTCTGTGCAATCAAATGAATGAAATGAATAATTTTGTAAATTCCAGCTTTAGTTCTTTTGCTATTAAGTATTGCCCTCGGGATTGTAATAAAATAGCGCATGCTATAGCGGCACTGGGTTGTAATGATCAGCTTCACAACATTCTTAGCTGGGATGATGTACCCCCTGAGGTGGTGAAGTTGGTGACCAGCGATCTCACTGGGATTGTTTTTCCAGGTCAAAAAAAAAAAAAGAATGTACGAGGCTTGTGCCATGCGCCATTCAAAAGAAAAATTCACATTTTCTTGGCTAGAGAAGCAAAAGAACACGATGCATTTACAAAATTCAGTTTCCTATGATTCATTCACATACAGCGACTTAAGGTGCCTATACATGAGCTTGCTATCATGAACGGCCAACTGGAGTTCATAATCATCTGACCACCATTGCTGCAACCCATGAGCTTCAAGGAACTTCTTTGGTCCTTTGGCAATCACAAACAGCTTGGAATGAGTCCCAGAATGGCCATCATGCTTCTCGGCAGTAACAGTGGCGACACCGCTGCGATCAGCATAAAAGCAGCAAATGTAGTCACAGCTGTTTATGTACAGGTTTGGCACCCATCTCTTTACCTCCTTGATCAGCTTTTCTTCTCCAATTTCAGAAGCTGCTCCTCCATCCTCTGTTGGGTGAGAAAGTTCTGTAGCATTTGAAGAACTTCCACTGACATATCTCTTCAAGACCTTGCCGGCTTTCTCCTGAAGTTTCCTCAGCCCCATGCCAAGTGAGACTGATGGTGGATTGAACAGATGGCATTCTACAAAGATCCCATCTTGAGCCAAAGTCTTGCCAACCTGCAGAGCAAAGCCTGCCCCCAGGGAATGCCCAGCAATGCACACATTGTTGCTGCCACGCTTGTCGATCGCCGACTTGAGCGCCTCGAGAGCACCGGTGAACCTGACAGAGCCCCTCAAGCTCTCCATGGTGAAGAACCGGAAGTCGTCTTCGAGGTCTCTCACAACTGTCGACTGCTTAAGTACTGTTCCCCTTATCGCGAGGACAACCTTCGGGGCGCCATTAGGTCTCAACACTATCAAGTCTGATAGGGCAGCAAGCTGGTCCCATTCTAGCAGCACACCATATATGGATCCATCTCTAGAATCAATTAGAGGACGCACCAGCTTGTACTTGAATGGCTTCCACCAGTTAGGAGCAAGGGCGCTTTCACCGTTTCTCTTCTCCTGCCTGTCTAGCTCCAGTAGATACGCAGCCTGCACGAAGCATGAAACCGCAATTCTTCGGTAGTTGGGATCTGTCCTGAAGAAGCATAAATAATGCTGTTAAATCAGTGCTACCCACATTACTAGTTTGGTTATCAAACATTACAAAAAGGCATGATCTCCAGAAATGGAAACAAAACAGGGAACTCATATCCCTAGGACAAGAATGTGGACTAAATTTCATTTACATTTAAGCAAAATTATGGACACGACACTGCACATAGAGAGTAGTATATATATATATATTTTGTTCAATGCACCATGTTAAAGCCATAAAATTTGACATGTTCCTTTACCTGAAAATTATTTCCACTACACGACCAGCATTCTACAAGCTGGAGTATGACAAGCGGTCAACTAACATATTGCCAACAATCCTAGTTACTACTTCATTCAATTTGTTTACAGCCTTGACTGGTGATTAAAAAAAACATGATATTGGCATGGTACTATCTAGTTGCCATCATACTGAAATATGACGAACACACGTTACCTCGGCAATTGGTTGCAACAGCTGTTTGCACCACATTCCTCTGCTTTTTCAGTTATGTACTTATGTATGACTTCTCAATGGGCAACTGTATTTTATACATAATATCTTTTAGGACTAGCTCTGTAGGTTTCATAAAGAAACACCAGGAATCCTTAAGCTCCATGCACACGACTGACACGAGGTTCGATCAAATAGCACGAAAAATCCCTGAACTCCACGCAGAGTTAACCATTTCTCAGGCAGGCAGGTAAAAATCCCGTAACAATTCACAGTTCTAGACAAGTGACCCAAGCACGCGTAAGGCCATTCCTAGAATGGTGTCTATAGCATTAAATAAGCTGCCACATAGGATGAAAAATAATATGATAAATGAATAAATGAGGAAAGAGAATGACATCGTTTCTACACAACATCCAAGACATCATGTGAGATAAGTAGCATTAAATTTAAATATGGAATAGTGGTGTTTGCATTGGAAGATTAGTGTCTAGTACTAATTTCTCGATGACGTAGAGTTTATGGAAACTATGTCTAGTGTTTTGGGTTGGGAATGGCCTTAACACTCCAAACATCTCAGACATGTAGTAATGATGTAAACAAAAACCGTACGCGAGTGACCAAGAATGGGAGCACATGTGCATGTTCATGGACGATCCAACAGCGGAAGGAGGAGGGAGGGAGAAGGGATGGGTCGCGAACCACCAACCAGCTCGAGCGGATGAGGTCCCTCCAGCTGGGGTTGGAGATGTTGCGGGGCCCCGTCGCGTGGAACTCCCACAGCACCTGCTTCCCGCCACCTCCGCCGCCGCCGTTGCTCCCCATCGTCGATCCCCTCCGCCCGTCGCTCTCGCTCTCGCACCACCGGTTGATTAGCGGAGAAGGAAAGGGAAGGCGGGAGAGGGGGGCGGCGCGCCGGTGCCGCCGATCGAGGAGGCGCTCGTCAACGTCGGAGAGAAGGAAGGGGGTGGATGGATCCGTGGCCCGTGCGGGCGGGGAAGAATATACGGGGCGCCAACGCGGCGGCGGGTGGGAAATCTCGCGCGCGCTGATGCACGCAACGGCCTCGCCAGGTCGTTTTTTTACTGTACTTTTGCGTGTTCGGTTGCGAGGTCAAACGGTCAAGGCGCCACGCTGCTGCTGTTGCCTGTTGGTGGTGGTCATCTGTAGCTAGGAAACAAACGGAATCTAACAGAAATAACCTTTTCATTAGGTGTTACTAGGTCACTTATTTAAAGGCAGAAGACGTAAGTTCGAGAATTTGATTAGCAAATTTTAATATGGGCACGAATATTGTGTTGTTTTTTTTTTCGGTTTCTTATGCCGAGTATGGTGTATATATATTTTAATATGTTCAGTGCAATATTCTAATAGGATGCTCCGGTGTGAGACAAAAACCGACGCGGGCAGAAAAAACCGAACCAAATACATTGTAGAAGCCGGCTACTATGTGTCAGGCCGAAAATCGATGTCCCAAAACAAGTCAAACTCAGTTGACTAAATAAGTATTTGTCACGGAGAGAAAGAACAAGTGGCTGATAGATGGGAAAATACAGTCCAGCCACCTCTCTCGTTCCCCTCCAGTTGGATGCTGGCCTTGTCTTAACTCCAGAAGTCACCGCTAGACGTCGCCGCCATCGAGCGGGTGCAGGTGGGCGATCAAAATTTGGCATATCAAAATTTGGCTCCAAACTAAATAAACACTAAACACTATTGAAATTGCCAAATATTGGTAAGGTCAATTTAGATCTCAAACCAAATTAGCCCAAAATTTAGAGCTCTACGTGCTTTTAATCTTTTCAGCCATAGCTAGCGAAAATTTAAATTTTAAAAACTTAATTTTAGAGTTGATTTTTTTTGTTATCGTAGTTTACTTTTCAGCATTACCTTTTTAAGTTATTAGGAACACATATCCAACGTTTGGCCATCCGTCTTATTTGAAAATTTTAAAAAAAATAGTCACTCATAAATTACTATTTATATTTTATCATCTAATAATAATAAAAATACTAGTCATTTTTTTTAAATAAGGCGGACGATCAAACGTTGAACATGAAAACCCAAAACTACACTTATTTGGGATGGAGGGCGTGATATTCAGTAGAAACAATTTCTCCTAGGGGGCTGCAATATAACGGTATCCCGTTTTTCGAACGGGATGATCCCGAGTAAGTATCAGGTGTTGTCGGAGATATGGACCCGGGGGTATGTGTGTGAAGTAGAGGGGAATTACTTTCCCTCCGGCCACGTGACTCTGCAAGTTAGCCCCATTCGTGCGTCACGCGAGTCGTGAAAGCGCCGGGGGGGGGGGGGGGGGGCTCGGGGCATGGCGTCACCCCCTCGGGCTATCCCGCGGCTTCGCCCCGAGGCCTTCACCCGGCTGCCACGCGGCGGAGGGAGAGAGCGAGAGCACAGGCTGAACAGCCATAAATGTGCGATGCCCCAACTGTCCCTCACCGCATTTAATGCGGTAAGGGCAGACGTGCGGCGCGCCTAGCTAACCTCTGTCCAACGGATGTGACCGATCTGTGACCGGCCTGACACCGTCACATCCGACGGATAGGGCAATCATGTCCTCACGTCGCTCTTGTACCCGGCGGAGTGGGGGTGGGTATGACCCGTCACGTCCGAGCGTCACTCGAGGAAGGGCTGTCACAGGTCATCGTTCATTTATGAGGGAATGACAGGGCTGTCCACCGTGTCAGGCGGGGGCCGGCACCTGGTTCCACTCGAGAACCGGTTGTTGCTTAGCTTCCGGGAGAAGGCACGATTTAAAGCCCAGGAAAAGTGGAGTGGGATCCCCCTCCGAGAGAGGGTAGGTAGAGGCGGCGCATGTGGTATCCCCTTGAGCTATAAAAGGAGGACCCTGCCCACTGAGACGGGGGGGACGCCGAGAAAACCTGAACTCCAGAAGAGAGGAAGCGAGTGCGCTTTCTAGAGTGAAGAAATCTTTGTAAAACACATCCATAATCCCAAACACAGGAGTAGGGTGTTACGCTCCATAGCGGCCCGAACCTGTATAATCCGACTGCGTGCAAGCTTGCCGGTAATCCTAGGGACGAGCGAGTGATTTCCAAGAGATGAGCCTCCGCCCCAGGCCGAACTCACAAATGGGGGGTCTCACGATTCCCCGCTATTGAGGATCTCTCCTCGACAGGTGTGATACCTATCAGGTATCAGACGATTCTACACAACAGGATGATCCCGAGTAGGTATCAGGTGTGATACCTATCAGATATCAGACGATTCTACACACGTTTCAAGTGATACCTACAAGTATCATGTGATACTTATCAGGTATCATGCGATTTTCTACCACGTATCGCGTGATACTCGCGAGGTATCATGTGAAACCTGTCAGGTATCAGATGATTTCAACCACGTATCGCGTGATACTCACGAGGTATCATGCGATACCTGTCATGTATCAGACGATTTCTACCACGTATCACATGATACTCGCGAGGTATCAGACGATTTCTATCATGTATCACGTGATACTTGCGAGGTATCGGATGATACCTACCAGGTATCAGGTGATTCCTACTAAATATGGTTGGACATCCCGTTGGGGGAGGAGCACCCCGACACGCGCGGTCGCCCCCAACAGCCGTCCCTTGTAGACGAGGACGGCGACGGCAGCGGTAGCGGGGGACGGGCGCGACGGCGGTGGGGGATGGGCGTGGCGGCGGCGGCGGCGGGGGACAACAACGGCGGCAGTGGGGGATGGGCGTAGCGGCGGCGTCGACGGGGGATGGGCGCGGCGGCAGCGGCGGCGACGGGGGACGGGCGCGGCAGCGGCGGGGGACGACGACGGCGACAAGTGAGTGTATGGATAAAAATCACGTGTGGATAGGAGCTATCCTGTTGGGGGACGGTATCCCGTCCCCTAGCATTCTCGTTTCTCCTAATATCCCAAATCAAAAGCAAAGCAAAGCAACAGTGTTCAATCGTTGCGGAGCTGCCGTCTCGTCGGCCGTCGGTCGGTATATAGAGCTGTTAAGCCGTGCCTATGCAGTCGCGACGGAGCACCTGACGCTGTCGGCCCTGCTTCGTGCAGCAGCCGATGACAACTGGGCCCCACCACCCGCGGGCCCCACGTGTAAGCGTGAGCCTCGAGCTCCCCACCCGCCGCGCCGCACCGCACGCGCACCGACCACCCACCCAGCGGGGCGAGCGTGTCCGTCCGATCCGTGTCGAGATCTCGGACCGCCTCGGAGACCGGGCCCACCCCACTACCCACCCCACATTTCGAATTCAAACCAATCCCCTTCCCCGTCTCGCTTCCCTCTCCTCCTCCTCCCAATCGAAGCTTCCAGAAGCCCCAGGGCGTCGCGAGGGCGCCGCGGCGGCGGCTCGTGGCGAACGAGGGCGGGGGTTGAGAGCGCGGGAGAGGGGGAGGCATGGCGGCGGAGCCGCGGAGGGTGTCGTTCCGCGACGGCCGCCTCGCGTCGCGGAAGGCGGAGGAGGCTGGTAAGATCTCTTCTCCCACGGGCCCGATACCGATCGAGGGGGTTCTTCGATCGGTGGATCGATCGCTCTCATGGCGTTCTCGTCGAGGGTTCCATGGTTTGCTTGCTTGCTTGCGGGTTGCTCTGCTGCTTGGGGTTTAGAGTTTAGGCGGGTTTGTGGGGGGGCAAAAGCTCTTGGTCTTTTTTTGGTGGGGGCATTTCTGCTAACTTAGGTGGAGTGCTTGCGAGAATCTCGCGCTGGGGTTCCACTTCGTGATCGTTTTTGGGCGCTTCTATGCGGAGGCCCCGAATCAATCTTACGCGATATGATGCATAGCTTTTGCTTCTATTGATTAAATCGCGATAGTCTTGCTATTATGAGAGCTAGTTCTTCTGCTTGGACCGTGGTTTCTGCAAGGAATGCGTTTAGAGAGCTAGTTCTCAGTGATTCTCCAAGCTGTCTCGTGCTGTTTCAATCCCAATGATCCGTAGATAAATTTCTATAAGCAATAGCCACATGGATCCCATCCTTGTCTCCAGAATAATATAGTACTGTAAATAATGTTAATAGAATGTAGCACGCAAAATTTCTTTGCTGTTCTAATGCTGGCTGGTTTAGTTTTCGTTAAATTCGTTGGCTGATTGTAGTTTCTTTGATTTCTGCAAGCATTGAGACGGCACCAGGCTGCAACCTGGCTTGAGAGCGTGATAGGGCCCTTCGGCCTCTCCCGGTGCCCATCGGAGCAAGAATTTGTTGCCGCTGTAAGGAATGGCATTGTCCTATGCAAGGCAATTAACAAAATACAACCAGGCGCTGTGCCAAAGGTCGTGGCTAATGCCTCCTGTGATAGCCAGCCATCGACGGCTTTCCAGTATTTTGAGAACATCCGGAACTTCTTGGTTGCTGTTCAAGAGCTGAAGCTTCCATGCTTTGAGGCCTCTGATTTGGAAAAGGTTGCTACTTAACTATGCTTAGCAATTTAATCCTGATGGTGGGATGTGTAATCACCCAGAAAATTGTGTTGCTTCTGCAGGACAATATTGATGCTGGGTCAGTAGGCAAGATTGTCGATTGTGTCATTTCCTTGAAGTCTTATCATGAGTGGAGGCAACGGGGAGGAAGTTATGGGCACCTCAAGCACTTGAAATCACCTCTTGCAACACGTTCTGCAAGTCATGTTCAGTCTGAATATGTTTGTTCCGGATCTTCTTCCACCCCAAAACGTCTAGATTTGGTAGAGACTGATACCGAGAGACAACCAAATCAAAATGTGGGTCCTAATTGTCAAGGTTTGTGATGCATTTCTCTTGGAACACATGATACAGTTTATGTATAACTTTTATTGCCTGCTTTTTTTTACATGTACATAATAACTTCTTTGCATTGATATCATCATCAACAATGTAACCAGCTATCTATTGTGCATTTTCAGAGGCAATGGAAAGACTTCAGAAGGTTATTTTGGACTGCATGATAAGTTGTAAAGAAAATTTGGACAATGATTCTCTGAAAAAGGTTATTAGTAAAAAATGATATGAGGATTCCAGTTACATGTATTGTACTGTTTAAATCATGATCCATGTTTTTGACATGTTTTGATCACTATTCCAGG